TGTGGTTGCTTTACCTTGCGAGGCGAGTCGGCAACTAAGTCGAACTTGTGCAAACTTTCAATCTTTTTAATTTCATGATACACCCTTAGGAAATTTTCTCGGCAGCAGTTTTATCTATAGTACCTTACGTGTCAACTTAACGGGATAGATGCGCGAACTGAAGTCCATCTGTCTTTATTTTTTTTTTTTTGCTCTTATCTAGAATTAATCCTAAGCATATAGGTGCTCTCAGTATTTATCTTTATGAAGGCTCTTTTCAAATCATGCAGGATTGCTGAGCATTCTTCTTAACCCTTTCACCCCTGAAAGTGACTAGCATCTAATATCTCCTGACAATGTCATCCCTGAAAAGGAAAGAAAAAATCGATACTCGAACTGCGAATCATAATATGATAATAAGACCATGGACAGGTGCTATGTGCAGTTGAGCAGATGTCTTTTTCACATCAAAGTTCAAATTAAAACTGGTACAAGAAAGGATCTCTTCACGACGTGATTATCATAGTTAATTTTCAATTGCCTGCGTAATGCCCTGCAGATGTAAGGATTTTTTTTGTAGCTTTTTTTCATCTTGAGAAGTAATTACTCAAAAAGAAATACTCGCATAACGCCCACAATCAGCTCTGACATATTTTCCGGTGTGCCTGTCTGAATTAAATCCGCTCAAGTTCGTTTTTCAAATTCGTCTGAGTCTTTTCCACCCTCAATCACTTTTGTTCTTTTTAATCTACCATTGCCGCTTTTATTTTCTTTATCTTACTTAGCTTACATATCGTAATCTCCTTTAAATTGAGGATATCTTTCCCACTGCCGAAAACATTACTTCGGCAGAGTTTAGTGAGTTAGCTTGGCTTTTAAGTGGCTGTCGCAACTGAACCAGTGCCTCTTTCCCCTGAGTTAAATGGCTCTACAAATGTTTGTGAGCGACAATATCTACACCGGAGAATCTTCAGATACTCTTGTTGAAAGTTCTTATTCATTACACCATATATGACAGGGTTAAGAGCGCTACTAATCACAGCTAAAAAGCTGTATGCAACGTAAGCTTCGCGAGGTAACGACCACCTCCCTTGAACGGTGTCAACCATGTCTATCACCAGAATAGGAGTCCAGCAGAGATTAAAGAAGACAACAATAACAAATAGTGTGCGCGTTATCCTGATTTCCTCTACGTTAACTGTATTGTGTGATCCACTTGCAGCTTGAAAATTATTGCTGTGGCTTCGAACAGTTTGAAATATTCTTAGGTAACAGAAGGCTATGATGAAAGTCGGCAAGCCAACATACACAGTAACTAAAAACGCCGTGAACGGTCCGCTGTCGATCTGGAGGTAGCAAAAGAATTTGAAAGGGTGAAACACCATCTTGTAACCACTAAGCAAATATGGCAAAGGAGCCCACATGCAATAGAACCAGGAAAGAAGAATCATGATGAGTGTTTTCTTCATGGTGAAGTAGGCTCGGTATTTTGCTGGCCTGACAATACGATAATATCGGTTCACTGCCATAAGGGCTAACGTTTGTGTCGACGCAACTGCTAAGGTTACAGCGATATAGCCTTGATACTGACATGTCGTATCGTCAAAAGGCCATTTAGACAGCAGTAGCGCAGGATATGCGACAGGACCCGCTGAAAGCACTCCCAAAAGAAAATCAGAAATGGCCAGTGATGCAACGAACATATTCGTTGTTGTTCTCATTCTGCTGTTTAACGCTATAATCAGCAGGGTGGTAGCGTTTCCAACGAAGATCAATAATAAAATCAAGGCAAAAACCAATGACTCTAAGACGATTGTAACTGTGCTTCTCGACTGCATATCTTTCGTCATCGCTTCAAGTTGTTGTTCTAGCGAAGCCATCTAGTTTCCACTTTTGGTCTCAAACACAGTGAATTTTGTGCTCGCCAAAGGTACCGCTATTAACACAGCACAACCAACAAAAGTAATTATAGCGCTCGTTTTAATTGTGTGGGTAAAATCCTCCTAAAATGCTAGGCAGGCTCTTGATTTTAATTTGTCGTTTATGTCGCTTCATCCAATCAGAATGATGTAACCTCTGTGAACATTTCTCTTTATTGAAGTTGTTAACGTTAATTTCAATCCTAGGGCTTCAAAAAAGCATTAGATGTAAGTGCCTTTCGTCATGTTTAGATGAAAAAGTTTAAACAGCGTGGTCATTTAATTGTCTTCCATTTTTCTTTTCAATATTTCTTTTATCTATCAACTTTGCTTAAATCTTTGCCCAGAGGAGCGAATATCGAGTAAATGACTGAAAGTAATTTATTAACATTGAATTCTCTTTGTCGATTTAAATTTTTAACCAAACTCTGTATCCGCTTTAATTAAACAAACTTGAATTCGCATACTGAGACGTTGGTAACACAATTGTGCCAAATTTTGGGATATCCTATATTTAATTTTGAAATCTGACAATCATTTGCTTAATGATTGTTTATTATGGAAATAGGAAACTATGGGCGTATTTTCCTAATAATACAATGGAAATTATGTTTACCTACTCAGAGAATCATTTCTTCTTGAGAGGTTAAGGGTTAAGCTATCTTTGTTTAGTTGTTTATTTTCCAAAATTTTTTAACCTAGGGGTAAAAATCTTCTATAATTAGAGCGGATATGTTACTTTGTTTTATCTAAAAGAAATTGAATAAATTTGCATTGATTGTCTGTTATCTTTTTTTAATTCTGTTACATCCTGAGACATCCTTGATCCTTCTTCTTTCAAGCTGCCAATTGTTTTACCCTACTCTATTTTGTTCTGATGTCGTCCGTTAACGTGAGAAGAGATGACGTCCTGCGCGACGTAACTGATCGACGGGAAAGGAGGAGATTACTCATGACGTAATTCCTGTAATTTTCTTTATCACCGAAACATGAGTGCTTTCAGAGGATAGCAAAAGGATGTCCTGATCCCGTTTCACTCGTGAATCTGGCACAAATTCACGCGTCACGTATACGCAAGAATAAAATAACAGTATTTCACGTACCACGAGTTCAAATCTCACTTTACCTCGTGCGCCTTATTGTAACATTCACGTGTCATGCGTTCATTTTTGATTCAATTATGCGTTGACCTCTTTCCATCCTCGGATCAATTTGCAATGGACCCTCAAAGTGAAGGCTGAAAATTTCAAAACATTTAAAGAATTATTCATCTGGTATTGTTGCAATGTTTCATTCAGAACTACTGTCGGTGTTATGATTCCCTCGAAAACGTTTTCAAGAATTTGAAAGTGTGGCGGGGGATTTACTCTTGTAAATAAAACCAATTTAAGCTTGTCGTTTTGCAATAATTTGTTTACTTTGTGGTCAAAATCGGTCGACGAGACACTTTTCTAAGGGCCTGTATACATGGAGGTGAGGGACCCCAGGTAGGTGAGGTAACCCGCCTAACCGTGGTCGAAAAATAAAATGCGTTTACATGCAATCTTACAACCCCGGGGTGCTGGGGTGAGGTTTCTTGAGGTTGTTATTGCGCTTGCAATTAAGAAGTTTGAGCAGAGGCGTCCCATGCCCACATCTCGAAAAAGACGAAAGATTAATTCTCGAACACATATGTATTTATTCATGAAAGCGTCACGCGTTGTGTTACGCTGTGTTTGGTTTCGCGAGGAACCGTTGACTTATACGTTATACGGAATAGTTTTGGAAACCAAATATGGTCGATTTACAACGCTAAATATTCCGAAATGTGAACATTTTACACCCCTTGTGTGTCCGTTGCAGTTTCTGGTGATTTCTGCCATGAGACGGCTAGAAAATATGCAAAGTTTTAAGAAATTATATGGACAGGCAGGTTACCTCACCTACCTGGGGTCCCCCACCTCCATGTAAACAGGCCCTTAGTGCAGCCCTAACTCTACGGATTGGAAATTTTTTTAAAATCGGCAAAAACATCAAAGGCGCCGTATTGGTGGGGTATGCAGACTTCGGCAAACTCGGGCATATCAGGAAACAGAAAATTTACACGAGTTACGCAGACATTCAATTTTTAGTACTTTAGTTGGTCTCACAAGTCACAGTTTAGAGAGAGGCCACTTACAAGTTTAAAACGGCAGAGAACACTGCACAAGGCCTACTCTGAGACCTTAAGTCGCCTTAAATCGCCTTAAGTCGCCTAAAGTCACCTTAAGTAGCCTTAAGTTTCCCTAGGTTACTATTGGTTACGCAATGTTATAAGGGTTCCACCCTTCCCAATTGACCCTGTCCACTCAACTCCAATCATAAGGATGACACACAAGATGTGTGTAGGTTCTATTGATTTACGTTCATATTTCGAAATACTTATCGTTGTAAATCGACCATGTTTTGTTCCCCATACTATTCCTTACAACGTGTTCAAATTCTCAGCGGTTCCTCTCGTAACTTAGCACCAAGTCACACGACGCGTGACGCTTTCATGAATTAATCGCTTTCTTTTACTCGAGACGTAAGCTCTAGACGCCTGTGATCGAAATGGTGATGCTAATCTTTCTCAACTTATGATTCGTTGAGAGCGGAAGATTAGACGTTTGCACGCAATCTGCACAAATGCAATATCATCTTAGTTCAAGCAACCTTTACATAAAAAAGATAGGTTTGGACTTCCAGTAAACAGTATTAAGGGATGTAAAAAATGTGAAAGAGAAGATATGATGAACGCCCAAAGGAGGCAGTTTTGATAGGAAACGGAAAACAATGTTTGATCTCTAGACTGTATATATGCACGTACGTAAGCAAAGGTTAAACAGTAAAACCCTTAACAGAGTTCTTGGCGTTTGCACGCGAACTTCTAACGAATTCTGTTATATTAGATCAGTCAGTCTCCTCCCAGTTATTAAAGGAAAGGAAAAAATTTTAATTCTCTCGCCATGTATAAATCAATGCTCTCCCCTAGCATCTTAAATAATCATACTTCGTCAATTGTTTTTATGGCCCGCTTTAAATTACTAACAACTATTGTTTTGACAACTGGTTGGTCTTCCTATTGTGTTTGATACTCAGCATGTCACGTCCATCAAGATTGTGTATTTAATAGAATCAAGCCGGCTAGGAGCATCATTACTTCAAAGCTGTATACGCCGGTATTGGTGGAAGGTTAACATACGTTGTTGAAGCTGAGGAACAAACCTCATTAGCAGAGCTACGCGTATGAAAAGTAGGTTAGACCTCGTCGCGATGGAAGTTGAGAAGGTATGACATTTCTTTCGCCTCCAAAAATATCATTTGTTTGATTTTGTCTTTTTCAAAACTATCTGTCATGTTTTTCATAAGCTATTTAAATATGAATGAAAGGCACTAACAATTGCCCTTTATGAGTTTTGACTGTTTCTTACTAGGAAATATATAAGCTTTGAAGGACTACCTGAATTTTGGAGTAATTTCAAACTTTTAGCGATTAGCTAACAATTTTTTTGCTCGCATTCTCCTACCATTCCGTAAGGGCTTATAAGAAGCTTATCAGAAGAAGTATACGCGTTCGTGTATTTCACTTATAGCATAACAAGCAAATATTTTGGTAAGCATTGACACCATGAACGATGAGACCCAACGAAATTATGGGTAGTGGTCGTTTCATGTTTTATTTTCCAATAAAGATTGGAAACCTTCCTTAATCTACCACATGCAGCATGTTGAGGCTTCTATGTGAAGAATTACACCTATAACGCCGTGAAGTGCCATCACTCATCGCTTATGCTTTTTTTTATGTGGGTGTCAACGCTCCGCATGATGCAAGCGTGATATACAAGACGCTTTGCATGATGCAAGCGTGATAAGCAAGAACAAAATTTTGTGGGCGCATATGATCAGTATGGAGCTAGGCAAACTAATGAATTACAATTAAGCTGACGTAAACGTTATGTATTTAAAGAAGTCGCTTTGTTAATTTAATAAAGGTCTCACCAATGCTCTCATAATATATGGATTCCTTTCTATCTTATTTTAGAATTCATTGCAAGAGAAGATTGTGTCTCTAAATGACCTTCCGTGGAAGATTTTTAATGACGCAGCTCTTTCTGTGAAAGAGCTTGCCAAGAAAATCTTTGCACTTCCGGCAGTGAGTGACTTCTTTATATATACATCTCGCCTGGATGTGTTCTCCAAAGAGTTGTCAGATTCTTTGAGCTGTGATTTGGAATCGCTCCTGCTGATTAGGAAACTTAAGTATTTCTACAATCAACCAACAGCAGCAGTGCTGCAACAACTTGCCAGTCTATTAGAAAGGTATGGGTTGAAAGCTTGTAAATAGTGTAACTGTTACGTTTAAAATTCCTTGGTGCACTCTTGTCAGTGTTTCTCTCATTTAATGCATATGGTGTTTGTCAAGAGTCGTCACAGATCATTTTCGTCACATACCTCAGACAAGAGGAAAAAAAAATAGGTGCAAGAACAAAATACCGCGTGGTGTCTTCTAGTTTAATACTCTACATACTCGCTCGATGCATTTACAAGAAGCATCTCCGATCGATCCTGGAAGTGTCAACAAAATCCCCGATACGTTTTTAAACCCTCTCATTTTACAAGTTTATCTATCTTTAAATTGTCTCATATCAACGAGCCATTATTCTTTCAATTTCTATCTTAGAATTTCAAGCAATAAAGAAGCCATTTCCAAGTGGAATGAAATCGCCAAGATGGTAGCAGATGAAAACGACATTGGTACCAAGCCTGTTCACCGCTTCCTCAAGGAAACTGGGTGCCCAGAATGTTATCTTGACAATGCTGAGTACCTCGAAAAGTTTGACCCTCACGGACTTTACCCAACATCCATTTACCGCAAATGTGATGGAGACATCTTGGCCAAAGCTGATGCATCGGTAGTCGAGTGTACCATGAGGCATACTCTGACCACAACTGCAAAGATTGTGTACAAAGTACTAGACCCAGCCAATCCAGAGTTGAAAAACGTGTATAAGCCATTAGGGAGGTTCGTATGATGTGATAATCTAAGTTTCCACGCTCTATTTATATGAAAATATTCGGTGCTTTTACTGATAAATGACCGACAGTTCAAAATTCACTTTAATGCATGTATATTCTTGCATAAAAATGTGTATTTATTACATGATCTATAATTTTGATTCGTTGTGAAGCACTATTTCAATGAAGAGGTAGTTTCCCGAAATTGATTGTCTAACAGCAGCTTAGTATTAAACGTAAAACATGAGATTAGAAAATTTTTTTAGATTAACATTTCTTACTCATTTCTGTTTTTCATCCCCAGGTGTGTGGCAGTTGTTGATAGGAATGTGAATAAGATTTACGGAGAAGAAATAAAGGCGTATTTCGATGAGCACTGCATCGAGCTGCAGAAGGTAGTCATTACCGCTGGCGAAGTTGACAAAGACATAGCAACAGTACAGAACCTCCTTGTAATGCTGAAAAAATTGCGAGTCAAACGAAACGAACCTGTTTTTGTCGTGGGAAATGGCGTCATACATGACATCACCGGTTGCGCATGCTCTATGTATCATCGTAACACACCTTACATCATGCTGTCTACCAGCGTTGTGGCTGGCATCGACGCTGGTCTGTCTCCTCGCACTGGTTGTGACGGATTTGGCTTCAAAAACCTGTTCGGTGCATATCATCCTCCTGTTCTGACGCTAACTGACAGAAGCTTTTTCCGCTCCCAACACAGCGCTTGCTTGCGTCACGGCATTGCTGAAATTGTAAAGATAGCAGTGGTGAAGGATGAAGAACTCTTCGCCCTACTAGAGCAGAAGGGCTGTAACCTTTTGTCTACCAAATTTGGCACAGAGATGGAAGGCTTCCAAGGAGATCAAGAGGCCTTTGGACGCGTTTGTGATCTCATTATTGGCAAAGCTCTTGAGTAGTATGTGAAATTTTGATTGTCTTGTACGTTAGTGCGATCGCTCATTTTACCAGCAGGAAAAAGTTCCAGTCTAAGAACTCCGTGTTGCTTTGTTTTATTGTCCCCGTAACAACTGCATCATAATTGGGATTAGTTCAAAGACTGAAACTAAATCATTTGGAATTATTAACAAACAACTGTGCTTTTAATACTTTACGTCTTGTGGTATGCTTCTTTGTCGCGTCTTAAAGCATAATGGTGCAATGATGGTCCAACGATAGTGCAATAATGGCCCGATTTATACTAGAGACGGATCATCCGTCTAGACGGATCATCCGTCATACGGATAATCCGTCCAAGTATAAATCCGAAGACGAATTTTGACGAATAATCTGTCTAGATATAAATCGTTCGCGAGTTTCACGACGGGTGTCTCGGTGTTGAGCCGAGTGGAAGCCTGGCGAGAGCTTAAATATGGCGGCTCTCGTAGCCTTGTTGATGAAATCGAGAAGAACAGCATTGGATATAGCGGTATATCAGAGAAGAATATCCTCTGCTAAGCGCATGTTTGAGCCGGAAAATAGCTTAATGAACTTCATGTTACCCTTTTCTCTCGCTAATCTTGCTCAAGATGGGAAGACAAGAGGAAGTGATTACACTAACGGTGTAATCACTTCCTCTGTATTGTGGGTCATATATAACTTCTGCGAAGACGTCCGTGTCTTGATCTGTCCAAGTCAACTTCTTGTTTGCTTTCTCCTTCTTTTTTGTGATTGCTTTCGAGGGCACGATTACTTTACCGGACGCCATCTTGAAATAGGCATCCCAGGAAACCTTGCAAAACTATAGAAACCAGTCTCTCTCATATGGAAACTTCGTCAAAAACCGTCTTCGTTTTCCGTCTAGATAAAAATTTATAGACGGATGATCCGTCTAAGACGAGCTATCCGTCTGTTAGCACGTCTTGAAGACGTGCTGACGGACGGATCAGCCTGAGACGAATTTTGCTCCATAATTCGTCTTAGTACCGAATTTATATTTAGACGAGTTATCCGTCTGAGACGGATGATTCGTCTCTGACGGATAACTCGTCTCTAGTATAAATTCGGCCAATGGTGCATTGATGGTGCAATGATAAGGCCCCTTTGGTTTTTGTCTGATATTGCTTCACTCTTTTAGAACGACTGATGAAAGCAACCTTAATAGATTCGCAAGTGAGCGAAAATAATACTTAATACTTAGTTTTTTCCTACGTCCTGGCGCACGCAGTTACGGACTTTGTTTCATATTTATTGTTGAATTGCAGGTGTGCGCTCATTGTTTGATTCAAAAGATTTAAGCTGACGTAATATGTTTTGTCGCGCATACGAAATAAAGTGGATTTGGAATTTTTGAGTCGAACTGGACTTGTATTGTTCCTTCGGTTTTAAAAGGGGTTTTCCAATCGATTTACGGGTTTTGTGGGCTGTTGGGAAAACCGTCAGGACACCTACCCTGCAGGCAATCTTACGATTCATAATCCAGTCTCTAACTTAAATGGTATAACTTTCCCCGGCCCTGACTTTGACTTTGGATGTCAAATGTTTTAGTCCCTTTCACTGACCTCGTAGGGTTACCCTAGCATTCACACCACATACTACCAAATCATAGAACTATTTGCAATTTGTCTTTTCTCTCTATTACAGCTACATGAGATCCGAATACAGCAATATTTTTGAAACGCATCAGTGTCGCCCACATGCATATGGGCACACTTGGAGCGCTGGGTACGAACTCGCTTCAGGAATGCTCCACGGTCAGGCTGTGGCCACTGGGATGGGCTTTGGTGCCTATCTCTCTCTCTGCACCGGTTGGATTACGCAACACGAGTTTGATCGGATCCTGAAACTCCTCAGTGACCTTGGATTATCTTTGTGGCACCCTGTCATGGAAGATTCTCAGGCTCTGTACCAAATCCAGGCAAGCGTTATTGAGAAGCGGGCGGGAAACTTAGTGGCACCAATACCCAAAGGACTCGGGAAGTGCGGCTACATTAACGACATGCCTTATGAGCTGCTTGACAAGCGCCTCGGAGAGTACCGGAAGGTCACCCAAGGATATCCAAGGCAGGGGGTAGGCATTGAAGTGCACTGCAAGGATATTGGGCTTGAGGATCCGGCCACTGTTGGAAACGTCAATAGGGAACTCCCCAGTCAAGACGCTAAGGATAATGCATCAGTGAACGAGTGCCATCTCGAAGCTGTTAAGAAGTAGGGTATCTAACGCATTGAACTACGTGACCGTGTGTAATATCAGATACCGTTTTTACCCTTCAATAATCGTTTTATAGAGAATCGAAAAAAAACATAGAGGAGCAACTCTTTGCAACTGTGAATTGTTCAGAATGTGTCTTGCATAACCTTCATGTTACATGCAATAAAAACAATAGCGATTCCGATAGTTTGAAAATTAGAGAAGTGAACGATGGCATTTTACGATAGGATAATTTTCCTGTTGCTCCAAAAGAATTTAAACAATTAATTAATTTTAGATCCAATTCTGGAATCTCAATTCGCTTTTAAATATTTTAGAATTTTTTAGCCTATAATTGTCAATTATCTGTTAGATTTAATTTTATACTTTAGATGATTAAATTCAAATAGCCCCAAAACTGTCCCAGCCTCAAAGCATATCGTTTTCAAATAAAGGATTTGATGATCAATCGATTGAATGATTAACCCTTTGGGCCTTAAAAGTGATCAGCATCTAATTTCTCCGTATAATATCACTCCTAAAGCGCACAGTAAGGTTACGAGAATAAAGGAAATGATCACCAGCTAAAGAGTGCTCTTTGTCGGCATCTTAGGAAATACAAAGAGAACAGTGCGGAGAATACAGAGACTAATGCAGGTTGTAAAGGGGGTTAAAACCGAGTGCACGTTCAGCACTGGAACTCCCCCCCCTCCCTCCCCACCCCACAAAATTGCACACGCATGCTCAAAACGCTCATTACTCATCTCAAACTAATATTCACGACAGGCGGTTTTTATTAACGTCTTTCCATCACTGCTAACACCTTTGTGAGGCTGAGCTGAGAAAGCAAACAAAAGTTCTGTCAGTTTAAAATTTTTGGAATTTCTTTGATATGCCTGTGACACATGATATTAGACACGTTTAATTTGAACTGCCAAAAATCAATTGTCCACTCGCAATTTCTATTTCGCTACGGCGAACCCAACTAAGAACTGCATAACAGTGGACGAATTCATGCTAATGATACCAAACTAACGTTCGCTCTCGTTCTTTATTTCGGGGAAAAAAAAAAAAAGGAAAAACGGCTGCTACTCTTTTTAGCTTAATTGAATTGGAACCCGCTCTACTGACCGCAGTAACTACTTTACTATTGAGAACTTTCTTTTTCTTGTTTTCTGTTAATTCAACATTGACAGTAGCTGTTTAAACAACTAGTTCGCTTCTTTTTATCAAATGGAACTTCGCTTCTTTAAACAAATACATCAGAAATCAATCTATGTACGAATAATTTTCTGGTTTAATAGCATTATATTAACGATGAAATTTGCTTTCAGTGCTCAAAGATAATGCAACTAAACTCGCTATCTTGTATATTAGGTGTTGATTGCGACTATTACATTGCGGTAAAAGTCATAGATATTTAATTAAAAAAGCCATTTCCGGAAAATTCAATCTATATCATCGAACAATACTGTCACTGCTGCCATAAGAGAAGAGTTCGCTTTAAAATTTAACAATAGTGTGGACCATTAGTCATCCTTTACTTTTAATTGTCTTCTGTTGTTTTCAATTCTGACTAACATATTGACATAAAACGATCAGTGTTCGCTCCTTAGACTTCGAATCATCGGCTTTGGTCAATACTGACTTTCATTGCCGCCTGTATGAGAATCCTTTTCCAAATTCATCGAAAGCAATGTTTGATGCTTTTTCGCTAATTATCCGAAGTCAATTTCAGTAACAATCGATTGAAAATAAGTGCGCTCGAAACAGATCCCTTCTCAAGAAAACACTATAATTGCTGAGTCCATCTCGAAGTGTAAGTCCTACTGCTACAGCTTTCTTCTGACTTAGTTGTATCACGGTAAGTAAATCCCATGAAACTTTGTAGACCAATCCAGATCTAGAGTAACTTTTAGAAGTAAAACAGATACATGTAAAACAGCAATTATCCTTGAAAATCTTGCCAGTGGCAAATTCACCTTATTCACCCCCATTGGTCATTCTTCGATTATTCTGATCTTGAGGAGCAGGTACTTAAGGCATTAATTTTTATGGATTCTTCGTAACTCTAGATCTGTGGAAAAATGCTGTCCTTCATGTTGCAACTGGTGCTTGCAGCTGTTATTTTTCCCGCTAGAAGCCTCAATCAGCTGAGAAGCGAGGCTTGCGTTCACAAAGGATTTTTCGAAAGAAAAGCTCAAAGTAAGTCCATTTTAATTGATGTTGAATAATATTCTATTTTTTTCCGCCGTTGGGTTCATGTTGTGGCATATAGTATTTATCTTCGGCCTGAGCGCTGATAAATTTTAATTTCATGTCACCATTGGTGGAAAAACCCTAATCATTTCACAGAAAAAGTTTTTAACAAAAGTGTGATAGTTAGTTTTTCAAGGTAGTACATTTTTTATTTTGGGATGGTACAGATATATTTTATATCTTCCCGACTCTCAGGCATACAAGTGCCCGCAATTATGTAGATAATATACATGTGTATCAGATCCTGACAACTGAAAAAAGTTACCATGAGAAAAAATAGTTTCTTCAGATGACAAACCGTTTAATTTTGGTGTCACCTGTTTTCTTTGGAGCGTGTTCCCTCTTAAAACTAAGTAATAATGTCGATTTGATGTGCTAACTTATGATTTTTAAGCGGAGCATATTCATTTATTCAAAAGATGAGAGGCAAATTAAAGAAACCTATGAACAGCTTTTTACTATCGATTTAGTTTCTACTTTCCTATGAAACTGAGAAGAAAAGATTCTTAAGAGCAATCTGCCAAAGAATCTGTTATAGTAAACTAGTAGAAATACGGGCACCCACGACTTCATCTTATAGAGTGTAACGTTACTTTGGTGAAAACAGCATGGGTAGGTTTTTTCTCCATTCTTTTTTAGTTTCTCTTGATTGCTGTCGAACACGTCTGAGAAATGTGTCTGGTTTAGAATTCAAATTAATCAATCCTCTCCTTTTATTGGAATAGCATATTTATTTAGTCCGAAATTTGTTTCACGACGCACAAAAGATCCCTCTCTTCGACAGGGTTGAAATTGAAACGCCAACAAAATATTTATCTCAACAGGAAGTTTATATCAGTTCTCTCGAAGAAACTTCAATCAATAATCTTGAAATGTTTTATTCATTTAGCCAGGCAACACTTTACCTGAAAAAAAAATACAATGGTAACCCCACAAAAATAAAAAAAGGAAAAAAATTATTATTGTAATAAAGAAGAGCGAATGGGTGAACTTTCACATCCCTGTTATTCCTCGCTTTCTTTGTAAGAATCCATTCCATTTGAAAGTTCAGCTGGCAAATATGCTGCATGATCCTATCTCTTCTCAAGAGAGGAATTTCTGGTCACCACTTTTGAGAAAAAAACTGCACTTTCCTCGAAGCTACAAAGAAAGCTTTATTTTCATTGCCCGGTAATACGACACTATTAACGCCAACTAAGTAGCCCAGTTAAGAAAGGTTATGCAAAAGGAAAGATAAATGCTTGATAAAAAAAAATTAAGTTCAAAATGTTTTTTTTATTTTCTCTCTTCTTTTCCCCGATGAGACACTGTTCTGATTAATCATGTGATCGCTCAATATCAAGTTGCCTCAGCGCTCCAATGCGCTCAACAGTGCATGCGCAAATGTGGCTGTGTATCGTTCAACTATGGTAAAGGGAGCGCCACAAAATCATCCCTGCTTTCCTGTCATATTAATAAAGAAAAACAGCAAAACGACCCACAGAGCTCCATTGCAGTTGATGGATTTCATTATTTTGAGTTGAAGGTATGTCGGGAAGCATTTGCTTGAGTAAAGCATTCGCGAAAACGTTTGTGATCGAAAAGTACTAAACGTTGATGAGAATATGTAAACTCGAAAACTGTGGTTTATGTCGGACTGGCCTGTGCGGTTGGTTTTTGCTCTGAGATGAAAAGATTTTACAAGCCTCGCTATTGAAAAGGGAAAAGAAAACCTTCAGGAAGTGTTTGATAGGGTAAAGTGGCTGATACTGGCAGTTGAGTATCTCAAAGGCCTCCAAGGTCGCTCAATCAGGCACCAAAACGTTTGTGTATGTAGCTGCATGTCTTGTTTTTTTACTGTGGTTATACCAACAGCACTAGATAAAAATGGAGCATTGATAATTTACCACACTTTGGTTATACTATTCCCAATAAATACTTCCATCGAAAGCTACTCCTCTCAAGTCAGAGTCTACCATCCTAAATCTCCAATCACTATGCCTTGTGTACGTGTTAAATATTTTCACTGCAGCCAGTTCTCTGCGGTGCCAGTTCGTGTCAAAATGGCGGCAAATGTATTCAGGAAAACGATTCGAATAAATGCATCTGTGCTGAGGGCTACAGTGGTTCATACTGCGAGCAAAAAGCCTCGACAAGTGAAAGTGGTGAGAATATTACTGTCATTCCATACTATTGTTAAAAAACACAGAACTAAATGAATAATAATAATAATAACAATAATAATAGCAAAATGAAATAGACGAAATTTTTACTTGGTTTATAAGACGTATGGCTTTTCATAAATATATTAATATAATATCATACTTAAATATCTGATTAAAAAGGGAAAACAGTCTACAGACCAAGCAAACCGAAAAAAGACACGCGGCAGCTATAAACTAACGCCTGATAGTGTCACCTTTTAGATTCATCTCCGCTCGGCACGACCCCTTGTGCCTCTAACCCCTGCAAGAACTACGCCACCTGTTTCGACATCACCAATGGCTATTCTTGTCGTTGCCAAAGTGGATTTCATGGCGAAAACTGCGAAAAAGGTGAGCTCTTAACTCTTGTACAAGGCAATCTTTGCCAAAAACCTCTCCAAGAAAGGTAAAATCAATTTTTAACCAAATTTTCCTCTCCAAGAGAACCTCGTATTTCCCATATATCAGAAGCGTGTTCCAGGCGTCCAATACGTAAAACGACACGCGAAAGTAAACGACACGAGAGTAGCGGAAGAGCAAAAGATGAACGCGAATGCCTGCGGATCCAAGCCTCTCTCCTTTTTCGCTCCACTGTTACTACCACGCCGTTTAGTTTTGCGCTCCGTTTTACTTATTGAACTCTTAGAACAGACTTAAGACAGAAACGTTCGCAGCTGAAGTCCAGATAAAGATCATAGGATTTGATTACGATTGATAAGTATCCTGTCCAGTAGAAGCGGTAATGTTCCCAGTCTCCTCATGGTCCTCATGCTACTGAGAACGAGACTTAGTGCCTTTTCGATGACAGCTCCTTTCTTGAACGCGTTGATAAGTGCTTTATTTTATGCAGCAGAAAGTTGCCTGGCCTTGAAACTGACGAGTAACCACTCAGACGGCTTGCAACAAATTCATTTGGAAAGCATTGGTTGGGTTCCAGTGCTCTGCGACCAACAAACGAACAGTGGAGGTTGGACAATCCTGCAAAGACGTACACGTCCTTTTATGAGGGTCAATTTCGACAGAAATTGGACTGACTACGAAGCTGGCTTTGGGAATATTCAAGAAGGTAATTTTTGGCTCGGTAACAAAATGATCCACATGCTTATGAAAACACCTCGGTTTCTTCGAATTGAGCTGAGGACAGACAGAAATGAAAATGGCTTTGCTGAGTACAGTGACGTTAAAGTGAATGGTGTGGCTAATAAATACCGTCTTCAAATGGCATCTCCAAATGGCTACCGAGGGTCTATCGGAGACTGTGGTGGTTCTTCTTCATGGCAGTATTTCACAACAAAGGACTCGGATAATGACAAACAGTCTAACATCAATTGTGCTGTGAAAGATGGTGCTGGCTGGTGGTACAAGAATTGTGGATGTGGAAATCTCAATAAAAAAGAGGGACCGAAGTGGAATTCCTGGACCCCACCAGGCAATTTCGAGTTCAGCGAGATGAAGATACGTTGAACAGTTAGGATCAGTATAACATGTTGATAGTTGCTAGACAAGAACTCAGTTAACTAAGTTCAGGGTAGCAAATTTCCTGCATACTGGTAGATAGGAAAGTTGATATGTAATGCTTCTGCGCAATGATGTCAATCCACATAGATGGTAAAGATACATGGTTTCAAAACTACTGTCATACTGAGTTTATTAATCCTTGACTTCAAAAGCTTCAGTCTGTGATACTTCGTTACTTTTTCAAAATGAAACCCTAAAAAAGTTTGTGTAAAAGGTAGTTATTTGCAGCTAGACAATTATTTCTTATCTTAACATCAGATCCAGAACATGCAAAAGTAAATGAATCTGAGGGCTATAAGATGGGATTCATTCAATGGGAAAACCTCAGTTAAAGGCACGAATTGATTCTAACTCAGTCACACCTTGCTTCAAAGGACACTAACATGCAGTTCCATACGACACATCTTAACTCACTTAAGCCTTTAACTCCCAGAAGTGATTAACATGAAACTTCTCCCTACAATATCCATACATTATTCAGCAAACAGGTAATGAGAATATTCAAACTTATCAGGTAGAAGCTGCTATCTTGATCTAGCACCAAGTTCCCATCACTAATTTACAAGAAAATTTGTAGCAGCTGAAGGAGAGAATTAACAATCAGATCTTGGGAGTTAAAGGGTTAAGAGAATATTGCACAATACAATCAACAAAAATTACGATGTTTCTGAGCTTCATTGTCTCCACCAGCAAGTTTAATTGGAGGTTGTATTTGTACTTTGAATGCAAAGATAGATGGTTGACTGTGCTGCAACAGTATATTATTTATATCTATGTTCTCAATAAAGCGTTCAACTGTGTCAGTGCGTGCTATATACGATTTTAAAAAAATTATGGTAACTCGTACGGTTTGATCTCTGACAAAAAACGTCATTCATGACTATAATTCCTAAGTCGCGAAATGCGAAAGCAGTCTATGTTATTCTTGTACTTGTGCTTAAACTTTTTCGGGGCAATGCCACATTTTTCTGAGGAATTCTTCGCGTCACAACAGATTGCCTTTCGACAGAGGTCTCTCTAGGCTCGTTTTGTGAGGGAGATAAAAACATACATTAAGAGAGAGTGTGCCGGGTTGAGGAATAAAAATTGAATGATGAACTTGTTAAACTTAGGATGAATTGTTCAAACTGTGACACTGCCTCTTTAAGGAGAAATGGCACAAGGACTCATGTAAGGTTTCAAACTGCAAAAGCATTTTATCCCTTCAGATCCTTCCCCATCCACTCAATCAGGAGTCTCGTGACTTTTTACACCAAAGTAAACAAAAGTTAAAACTGGCATGAAAAATTATACGGAGACGTTCTAACTAAGATACTACACATCCAGACGAATTGTTAGCCGGTTTTACAGGACTTGAATCTTCGGGCTCTGGAACTGGTTTCACATCACCTGACGCAGCTTGGGAAGCCTGTACAAATTATAGTAATAAGACACTCAAAGTGAGTATCTTGGAAATGAGACTTCGTCATATTAAAGATAGTATTTAAGTATTTGCTGTGCTATCGGGAAAACGTTATACTCTAACAGACTAACAGAATGTTATTTGACAAAGGTCACAAAGACAAAATAGCCAAAACGACGAGGAGGGGACTCTCCTTATTGAAGATTGCTCGTTGTGCATTACACTGCAATGGAATATAGATCTTGGTTTAAGCACCCTCTCAAGCACCATCCCGTCATGCATTGTTGTAGCCCGTCCCAGGCTCTCAGTCGATGGACGCGAGCAAAATAGCTGGCTATAGAAAGACAGTGGTTGCGCTTAGTCTAACCCGCTTTTCGCGCGCTCTCCGTTAGTTTTCACTCACTAAGGTCAAAATTGCACAGGCTACCGTTGTTGAAAACGTCACTGTGGCTATACTTTAAAGAACTACGCAAAAATATTCTTATTTTATCACAGTAAATAGTCTGAACTTGAGGGCAACATTTGATCGTTTAATCCGATCGTCCGGGTGAGGGTATTCCAGAGAAGGACTGTTTTTGGTAGTACTGACTGATTGGCGACATATTGCAGAAACAAACCAACAAATAAAAACAACAACAACAGCAACTTACCGGAGGAGGGTGAGCTTTGGACGCGTCAAATCCAGCATAAGTATCCCCTGACCATAAGGCATGCGGAGCGGGCTGGGTGAACTCTTGAGGACTTGCTAAGCCATGAGTTGCCTTCAGTTCAAGTTCGGGTGGCTCGGCAGGGACTTTGTGGAAATAACTAAACAAAGACATAGCAGGTTAATTAACATTATTATAAGCGGTACAGAGCTAAGAGAGAAGTAGGGGTAGTACTGTGGAAGAATTCTCCCTAACAGTTTCTCAGATGGAGAGAAGCAGTGTGAAATTAAAGCCTCTCGCCTAACATCTCCCGTCCGCGGCTGGAGCTCAGACCTCTCAATCCAGAGTGCATCGTCCCGACAAAATACGCCAGTGCCTTCTAAGCTACTCTATCATAAGAAAACCTCTTTAATAGGTGCTGTGAATAAGCAAAATACTCTAATCTTGTTTGAAGTACTGGCCACAGTTGTTCGAAGGCCGATTGCCGCTAACCCAGGGTTAGATTTTATTCCGGGTTTCGTTATTTCTCTGTTAATAAGCTTTTTTGGATAATTTCCTCTATTCTTTTTAGAGCATCCAATAATCAAATTGAAGACAACTTGAAAAATAATAAAAATGAATTTCATTTTGCAGCTTTCAGATCTGAAATCAAATTTCACACTATCTCAACCCAGCATTGATCAAACCGGCCCTGAATATGGGTAACCGCACTTTGAAACAGTGATGTCCTTACATGAATCCATTCTCATGGTTGGCTTTCTCCAGCTTCTTTCGTATGATGGGACCAAGTTTTAGGAAAAATGGATGTTGCCATGGTCTAGCTGTTGTGCCGGGCCCTCTAGTACTGGAGTACTCGTGGGAAATTGCTTCAGCCTTCTTGTACACTGAAGTTAAAAAAAGGTTCCTTTAAATTCACTTTGAACACTATCATCTTTGCCACCATCTTTTAGTTAAGACTGGTCTCCTAAGACTGCCAGTCGGAAAGACTGACAGTCAGTCTGTCTGACTACCTATTGGATAGGTGAATCTGTTTCTTTTGAAACGAAAGTAAGAGTTTGACACAAAAGATAACAATGGCTTTACATTTATCACTTTCTTGTAGAGCTCGAATGGCTTTTCCACACTGATCTTCAGCAAGAAGTGTTTCCCCACAAAAGCAGTAAGCCTACAGGGAACAGGAAGCATGAAAATGTGATGAACAACTTGCTGGAAACTTTTACTAAAAGCTCAAGATTCCTCGTAAAGAATCTTATTTGGTGTACATTATCTCCAAACAAAATTGTTTGGAGATAATGAACACACATGTATCCAGAAAAAAAGTGGATCGTGTAAATCATAAAAGTTGAAGAAGAGGATTGGATATGTTTGAAAGGGAGCGAGAAGATTCAAAGTTGCTAATAAAATTTTAAAAAATCTCCCCGTGCATGCTTAGAATGTATTGTGCTTGATCAGGATCCTATCATTATTCAAATAGTTACTTCAGCCCAAGGAACTGCCCCTTACCATCATATATATTTTACGTTGATAGCAAGCTGAGCAATAGGCCATTTCTGAATTACCTTTAGCCTCTTTACCAATGAGGCCTGGTGCTGAACCATTTGTATGAAAACGAGTTTTATCTGCACATGAATGAAAACTTATTATCATATGGAAGGATGAACACCCAGACTCACTTTGAAAAAGAGGCTAAAGGCAATTTGTAAATGGAAAACAAATGCCACAAAATATAACTTGTGAAGACAACTACACCCCCTACCATCAACTTTCTAACCCATTGTGAATTTAATACCTAATAATTAATGACATTTTAACTTACATAGGACTGATAAAATGCAGCTTTCAAATCAAGGTATTTCTTCCATTTACCAGCTTTAGTTGGCTCCACTGATTTCAGAGAATCACCTTTAATAAATAAATATTTAGTAATAAATAGCTTTAGCTAAAGGCTGGAATTACTGTCTAAAAGAACAATTGTGATAATGAATATGGAAATGACACTAATAATGACCCTGTTAGATATTTACAAATAACTCATTATTAAAAAATTACCAACAGTAAGGGTATCACATGTTGACACCCACTTTGAACAAAGGGTTTGCTAATAAATAACAAGAGGAGGGTTGGGGTGCGGTGCTGGAGGGTGGGGTGGGACAGAGTTTATGAATTGCAATTTTTCTAAAGTTGAACCAAGGTCATAGAAATAATTATAATTTAAGATACAAAAAACATACTTGCTGCTGTAAACAGTTTTGACGTCTCATTGGTAAGAGCAGAGATAAGAGAAGCTTTATGTTTGAGCTCCACTGCTCGTGCCACAGTAACTAAAGAGAAAGTATAAGTAACAGCTTTAGTTGTTGCCTTCAAACTACATGTTGTTTATTCTGTTCTTCTTTTACGTTCAAGGATTATTGTGGTAATGTACTAAGAGAAAAGTAGAAAACACATCAATTTCAATTTGGTTTAAATTAGAATGAGTGGAAATTCATTTTGAACCATACTTACAGTAAAGTCTTTTAACTCCAGAAAACAAAATTACAACAAACCAAAAAGTGAGCAAACAAACAACAGCTTGACCCAAAGACATTTGCAATGTAACAAGGTCAAATGTGAAAGGTCAAAATACTCAAAGTATATGATCACAAAGTACATGTATGCAATTGTGCATGTGGAATTATTTGCGAAAACTACATATACTGCTCGATTGAGATACAGGATTTAAAAGTTTATTAATCCCTCTTTCCCTTGTAAAGTACTTGATTAAAGGGGAAGAGAAAGAACAGAAAAGAAAGAAGGATATCCTAAACACACCTGTTTAACAACATCTACAACTTGAAAGTGATAGATGTTCCACAAACACATTTTATCAGCTCAGCCATTGGCTGCAGTATTATGTTCTCTGGTTTGTCTTACTATCACTTTCGGTAATACTTACCTTCTTGTGCTTCAGCAACACACTGCATCTGATAAGCCTCCAACACTCGCTGATCAGTATCAGCACCTTTCTCAGCTGATAAGTCACCAAGGCGTGGCATCAGACTTTCCTGCAGACAAAAGAATTAGCCAAAAATATCCCAACTTCATACCTACAGTAGTTTGGGAGAGGAAGGGATATCCAAAGTGTATCATATTTAGTCTAAATACCTTGACAAACTTAAACATTCCTCCTGCAGCTCTAAGGCATGTGTGGACTTCCTTTGCTTCATCCATGGTTACCCTGATAATATTCATTTCATAAATTAATTCCTTCATCTCAGAAGTGCAATAAAGTTCAAATATCAAAAAGACATGCAACAATCAAGTCACTAAGGACAAAGTAGAACAAATAAAAATGGAGTAAAATTCTCTATTTCATCATGAATATGTGTGGTGCCCATGCCAAATTCATGACAAACTCCTTTGAAAAGTAGTCAAATCATCAGTTGTCACCTTAAAAATGTAATAATAATTTCTTTATTATATATTACAAAGATTTATAATAATTATTCTAATGTTTAATATCATCAAACTTACTCTCCCTTGGCAGCCAGTTTTGCTGCATACTTTGTATACCAGACGGCAACATTCAAGCAGACAGATGTTAACTCAAACACACTGTCAGCTGAACAACTGAGGAAAAAAATTGACAACATTAACAAAAGAACATGATCATCATAATACTCTAATTGTCCTCAGACTGGTGTCAGTGGTTGAAATTGATGAAATTGGCCATTGATATATGGCATTTCTGTTTTCTTATAGAGCTACATATATAGGTCTATTTAGTCCCTATCCAATCAAGGGGCAAGGGTGGAAAAGGGTAAGATGGCAAGGGGAGGGAGGGGGGGGGGTGCAAAAGGAGATGAAGAACTATATACAGTGCAGAATGCTTTTTGGGGAAGCAGAGTTGAAATGCAGTGTAAACAAAGTATATTGTGTTTGAAGAAAGTAAGAAATGTGGGACGAACCATTCAATCTGTTGACATCAAAAAGGACAAATGTCATGTCATGTCCCACAAGTCAATGTCCCCTTTTACTTTGGTTGCATAGACCAGCCTTAGATAAACTTACGTTGGAGTGTTTCCACAAATTGAGTTTGTCCACTTGAACATGACTAGTTTACGAAGCTTGCTGTCACCAGATCCTTGGGCTGGATCATTCACAAGACCATGAAGGAGTGACAAATAAAGCTCAGTGGCCTGTTGGATTGATTTGGGATCATTTGAAGGGTCTGTCAAGGAATTTAACAGCTTTACCCTGGCCATCTTCAGTTCTCTGCAAAAGGAAAATAAACACTTTGGATCTTTCTTTAAGGAGGGGAGTTATCGATTGATAAAAATGCAATACAAACAAACAGATAGGTACTATAATTATCCTTTAAACTTGTGTTATAATATCCTTGAACTACCACTAGACATGTGCAATTGTTGTTTCTCAAAGTGCTAGACATTGGTGATGGAAAAGTCCTACAGCTAACTTCCCTCATAAAAAGGAGGATTTCGGAATTTTCTTGACCATATCCTAATGGACAAAATTAACCAATGATTATCACTCCTTCCAAATGTGCTAAACATCATAAGTGAGAGTTTTTTTACCATGTTATCCTGACAGTAATTATGCAACATTTAATAACCCATTTCAGTTAATTTTCAATTCAAGGTAATCAGCACCTGAGACCCTTATGGCAGACCAAATACTGAGCACTGTAGAATCACTCAATTCTCTTTTCTTTTCTTTTTTTTTTCATACAGTGCACAAGGATTGGAAAGTTAACACTCCACCTCTTCAAGTTTTTTTCTCTCTGACTCTCATTCTTAGGATGAAAATAGAATTTACCCAGTATTCTGATTTTTGGTCATGTTCTAAGTTATATTATTTTTTACCCAACAGCATTAAATTGCATTAAATTGCATTAAATCTTAATCCTGAATCTGCCTATCAAACAATTGTATCATCAAATCCAAAACATCTAATTTTAAGCTAGGTATGCAAGTAAATAAAATTTACAACAAAATAAATTTTCCTACTGGATACATTTAATATAATCTGCGGACATTTGTCAAATGAGCAAAATCTAACATTTTAAAAGCGCTAGTCTGGAAAACGATGATTTCAAGCCGTGTTTGTCCAGCTAAGTTTTTCGGTGTAGGTTGTTAGATAAGAACGAAAGAAAATGATGGACTTACGAGAGCATCTTAGACGAGGTAGAATTGGTCGCTACATTTCGAATCGACTCAAACGTAACAGGAGCAGAAGCCTTGATTGGGTTTCTGTGAAACCAGTGCGCCATTTTGTTACTATTTATAGCAGCAGATGCAATGTTTCTTTTTTTGTTGGTTACCATTAGAAATTTCCATGTGTTAAATGAAGATGAAAGTAATTTTGATACTGACCGCTGATAAAACTACAAAGTGATCGGAAGTCGTCGTGAAAAAACCGATCAATCTGATTTGTGCAATCGTAAAGCTTCGTTGACATCGTATCAGATATCAGTAATTTTCGTGTGATTTTCACAGATTGTTCGGTCAGCGGAGCAGCGCCAGGAAATCACACTCAAGACAGCTTACATGACATAAAAACTAGAACGTGTCGTCTTGCGCGCCTAGTTCGAAACCGAAGTGATATTGCCTTGGAAATCCTGAAAAAATATTCCATACTCTACCTCTAGCACATGAAGTGAGTGAAAATGTCGTTTGAGGCGAGGATTTTGGATTCCTTAAGACCCATATTCCCGCAGCTAAATGACCGCGTTTTAACGGAGTGCATAAGGAATGTTCAAGAAACCGTTGGAAGTGATCCCGCCACTATATTACCCGGATGCATTGACATGCTCTTGAGTAGAACTATTAATGAAGAAAATTTAACGGCAAACAGATCAGTTGTGCCTGTGACAAAACCTACAAACGAAAAAGCAAACTCGTTTGTTATAGAAGAAGACGATGATGTAGTGTTTGTCTCGAAAACGAGCCGTGTTCAGACGGCGGCTGCAACCAGAATTGCACCAATGATCATTGATGACGTGGAGATTACGGCATACCACTCTTCGTCCACCCCGAGAGGCGCATCTAATCCACCTCCGCTAAATGCTGGTTGTAACACAAGGGACCTGAAGCGAAATCTTTCGTTCGAAGGAGAGACACAATTTCCTCGTGCGCCATTTTCGAATATGCCGTCAGCGAATCTTCAAGATTCTAATCGACATGTTCAGGTTACACACGCTAAACATCCTCTAGATCCCACAGAAGGAGCTATGGAAAACCTTCACGCTCTATTCCCCGATGTAAGAGATGATTATCTTCAAAGCTTGCTTGACAGGTGGTCACATCTCCCTCGAGATGTGGCCATCAATCATGCTTGCAATGAGTTAATTGAGAAACGTGATTATCCAAAGAAAGCATCTAAATTAACTAATCCTCTGGGAACCAATACTTCTGGAAATGTCTGTGTAGAGAAAGACTTCTTCAAAGACTTTTCAGGTCCAGTGTCATTGCAATACCAAAATCAGTGCTTAGTTTTACTTCAAAATGAATTCAGAATGATTCCCAAGGGGCAAATTAAGAAAGCTTTGCAAATATTTCGATATCACTATGCCCCAAGTAGAAGATATCTGCAGGAACAACTTCGCATTTCTACACAAAGGGATGCAACTGCCACAGTGACAGCTGCACCCTCTTGTCAACTCACAAGTAAGGTGCCATTAGCCACTGTTGATGAGACTCCCTATGCACTTAGCCAGCGACCACCTCAAATTCAACTTCTTAGGTGTGGACGCTCTCCAGTACAGTCAAATTACTCACCATTTAACATGGATGAGGAACTTTTAAGGGAGATGGAGTATGTGAAAAAGTGGGATCTTTCTAGAACTGCAGAGAAGGATCGATTATTTGCCTTAAGCTTAAATGACCAGCAGTATGAAGAAGAAGGCCAGAAAATTGAATGTGGCTGTTGCTATGGAGATGCAGCTTTTGAAGACATGGTTCAGTGCCTGGATGGTCATCTTTTCTGTGCAAGTTGTCTGATGAACTATGCAAAGGAGGCTGCTTTTGGCCAAGGTAAGACAACTCTTGTGTGCATGAGTGATGGTTGTGAAGGCACATTTCCCATGAGTCAACTGAAGAAGGCCTTGCCGGCCAAAATCCTGGAGAAATATGAAGATCGTGTGCAAGAGGAATCCCTTACATTGGCCCAAATGGATGATTTCGTGCAGTGCCCTTATTGTGATTTTGCAGCAATTTTGCCACAGGAAGAGAAAGTTTTTAAATGCCAGAATCCTTCTTGTGCCAAAGAAACCTGTCGGTACTGCAAAGAGGAATGGTCTGATCATTTTGGCTTAAAGTGTACTGAGGTTGAAAAATCAGCACAGAAGGATGTGAGGCTTTCATATGAAGAAAGAATGACAATGGCAAAGATAAGAAAATGCCCAAAGTGTGGGTGCGAGTTCACCAAATCAGATGGGTGCAACAAAATGACATGTCGGTGTGGAGCCACAATGTGCTATGTCTGCCGTAAGCCAAGTATTCATTATAACCACTTTTGTCAGCATCCAAAGGATCCTGGAAAGCCGTGCACAAAATGCAAAAGTTGTTCGCTGTGGAGTGATCCTTCCGAAGATGATAACCGTGCAGTGAAGGAACTTGAGAAGGAAGCCCAAGAAGCAAAGAGGAAGTTTGAGGCAGAATCAGAGGACATCCCAGCTAAAAGGGTGAAGAATGTATGAGAACTATATTAGAGATGTAGCTTCTTGAGAGTGTGAATTACAGTAAGGTTATAACATGAAATTCATGTCCTTTGGCAGTTGGCAAGAGGAAGGATTAGAAACATTAGAAGGTACTTTCTATTCATTTTGTCACCCCATTTCAGAAATTGTGATGTTACACCAGAAGATTTTCATCTTTCATTTTACAAATTATTGTCAACAAATAATCAAATGAGGGTTACATATATATGCTTCACCTTTAGGGTTTATGTTTATGTAAAAGTAAAGAACTTGTTATTATACTGAAGTTCTGAACATCAGACTTTAAATTTGGTCATTTGTGTAATCTTGTGTAAAAACAATTTCTTACAAAAAAAGTATTTGAGAATTGAAAAGTAGTGATCTCAAGAGTATCAGTTCTTTGAAATGAGGCAATTCAGGGAGCAAGCTTAAATATTCTTTCAGCAAGAAGGACTGCCAGTTTTACATTTTCTGTTTTAGTTTGAGGATTTCTCAAACCTGAATTATCATATGATCACAATGATCTCCAAAACATTACATTTAAATGTATTGTGTCTCTTATGCAGATGGATAAAGAAATCAAGATGCACCAGTAGATACATACATGTAGAAGGCACTCGGAAAGAACCATGCACAAATTTCTGTTCCCTTCATCCCCTTTACTTATGACTTTTGTATGCAATATTTGTGTCATGACAGGCTGAGAATCTTACTTGTACTTGCAGAAAAAAAAGCATTGAATATATTTTTTTGTGGGTAAAATACATTTTGCCATGTACATTTCCTACAGCCCTTGATATAATTGGGGCCTGACATATTTTGAAAATTTAAGACTACATACATGTGAGAATATTGCATTAGCAACAGTTTCCTATTGAACTTTTTAGGGTTGGTAAAATCTTAGAATTTACTACCATGCAACAACCTCATGCATGGGATTTAAATTGAAACTTTAATTGTACACAATGTAATTCTGTGAAAAATGACAAACAAAAAAATATATTTTTATATGCAAATTAACACAATATTTTATTATTTGCTATAATTGATGTCACATTTAAGTTGATAATATGAATTTAATGAACCAATTAGTGTATTGAATTCTCTATTCGAAGAGTTTTATAATTTCTGTTCCTGTGACACTCTAGCAGTTAATAATCATTAGCATGCATAACCCAGGGCTTTGTGTACATGTAGTTTCAAGTGTTCCAGTTCTATTATCACGTTACATTTTTCTGAGTCATTTCTGACCACTGCTTAATGTTAGAAATTAAATAAATGCAACCTTCTAGGCTTACAGATTGATAGATATCCATGTGTAACTTGTGCATGACCTTACTATAAGTCTTGAATTTCAGTACTAGTTCTCTCCCAAATATGATGGGAAAGTTTGAAATGGCTGAGTGGACCTCCTTAGCCAGTGCAGTATGTTTAGTTCCTAATGAGGATCATGTGACAATACTCTGGAGAACTGTGTCTTCCAAACTTTGTCCATAGGCATAATTACAAAACATAAAGGGGGAATTCATCAGGAAGACAAGTCATACGAGCAAAGAAGTCTTGCAATAAGAGGTAGTACCTTTTAGATTGTGCTAGTAAAGTAGCTTGTTATGCTTCTAGCATTGCCAGACTTTTTTTCCCAAATGTAATCAAAATTATGTTAATTTTTGAAAACTATGTTACTTTTACCTAAGAGGGGATGTCAGCATCCATCGACCAAATTTGAAATATTGTGGCAAGTCGCCCAAAATTTGTTTTCTCTCCTACTTTCATATTTTGTAGCCAAATATGTTCTAATAATTGTGGTGGTGTTTTATTGTGAAAATATATTTTAGTTTTCGAGAAATGACTTTTTTCGTTCGACCGCTCAAATATGCAAATTTTCACCGTGAATATTACCCGAGTTGTGTGACCTCATGTAACGAATGTACTAGACCTACGGTATTTCTGTGAACATAATCCTTTGTTTTATCATCTAAACTTAATCCCCTGTCTTTATTTAAGCTGGCAAAGAAATATTTGTTGGTGAATATTTTTGTCCGACATACTTTCCTATGTCGAAAAATAGCATCAAAACAAAGACAGTTTTAACAATGACCGATATGACAGAATCTACTGAGCTTCAAGCTTTTAAAAAGCCAAAGGGTGGTTATAAAGTTACTGTAAAAATTTCCTTGTGTATTTGTGTTGTTCTATCTTGAGACGAACTCGTAGTCCGGCAAACTTTACTTGAAAGCGACTATGAAATATACATGGTGGATTAGGTTCACAGAAATACCGTAGATCTAGTACATTCGTTACATGAGGTCACACAACTTCGGTAATATCCACAGTGAAAATTTGCATATTTGAGCGGTCGAACGAAAAAAGTCATATCTCGAAAACTGAAATATATTTTCACAAAAAAAACTACACTACAATTATTAGAACATATTGGGCTACAAAATATGAAAGTAGGAGTGAAAACAAATTTGGGTGACTTGCCGCTGTTTGTTTGATGCATGCTGACATTAGCTCTTAAGAATGCATTTCATGAAAGAAACACAAAGCAAGTTTGAATTTTATATTTATCGTATAGAAAACATGAAATCCTCTTTATTTGAGTTGCATACTTGCTGTGATAAAACACAATGAACCTCTTCACTTAATTCCAGACTAGAAGCGGTGACTTATTGCGTCAAAATTTGCGATGTCAGTGTCACGTTTTCCTTTAACGTCTCTGATGCCTTTGAAAGCGGAGGTGGACCGCTGTTGCGCCTTACCTTCTACAGTATGAACACACCTCGGTAGTACATAATCGTGCATGCTCTCACGCAGTCATAAAAGAAAACTGCACGACATAATAGAAACAGGTCTTGCTTACGTCGCTTTATCTAAAAATCATGATTTAACCATAAACAGACATCTAGGAGCTAAAATACGAAAAAAATGTGTCATTTCCAGTCAAAAAAATAGACGCAATGACATCGTGTTTCGCCTGTTTCCACCCTCTCGAGAATCCCGCTGCCCACGGGAGGAAAAAAGGAAGGAGGTAGGAAGTGAGGGAAAATTGATGGAACAAAGAAAGCAATAAGAGATAAAAGATCAAAAGAACGCGCGAAGAGGAAAATTTAACAGAAAAAGGGGCGAGTGGTGGATGCAGGAATTAAAAGATTCCGATAGCGAAGAGCTGGAGAATTACACCAGTCCTCCCTTCTCCCATCCTGTTCGAGCCCCACCTTCCCCCCCCCCCCCCCCTGGAGTTTTCTGAACTAATGTCTGAACACTTTGTTGACTTTCCACCGTCTGGGGGGATGCGTAATTATGTTCACGGTGGTAAAGGGCCCTTCCGCACTAGCAACTAGACGCCGACAAAACTTGTTTCTCTTCGCCAAAAATCACTTCAACTGTCAGTCCATACACTGAGTATGCACAAGTTTGTGCGATATAAAAGATCTTTCGCCGACTGATGGTGAGAACGATGTTGAAGACTGAGGAGTGTCAAAGTAAACGGCCCGAAACTGATGTAAATTGAGATCAAGTTTTTTCATTAGCTAGTTAGAAAATACCTTTCCTTTAAGACAATTTTATATTTGAGCTTCCCATTTTATGAAGAAAAATATACAGACCCTGTTTTCATCAAAGAACAGATAGATATTAACAGTCACTCTTGAATGTGTTTTGTTTTCATTCTATTATCATTTTCATCATTACTTTTATTTGCTTCACTCAGTGTTAAAATCAACCTCCATTTGACTGACTGATACACCGTAGCAAATAAACAATGAGACACAAGAATCACCTTAAGGATTTGGTGTATTAAATTGTGAGTAATCTCAGCGACAACAATGGCCGATACATATTTCCTTTTACAACCACTTCTGGGGTCTTTCGTTTGGTAAAACTCCTGGGGATATAGAACTACTTCCTCAGCTTAACTTCTACGCTGAATCCATCTTTAAGGTTGACAAAGACAACTCTATTTCCCTTGCTCGCTTTAGGCGAGGATGGCGACTCAACCTGAACTATTGGCAAGTATTCTGCTGGGGATCCATGAGCATATGCTTTTGTGGGTAAGGTCTTTAGTACATCATATCTCAGCGTCACCTGCACTTCGGTGTCTTCGCTCTCCATTTTGTACTCCTCTTTCAACTTTATGTCTTGTATTTTCTCCAAAGGCTTAGACGTAGGAAATGCGAGATCAGGATAGCTGATGCTCAAATAAAGGAACTTCGAATCTTCTTTCGCCATAATGAGGCAATCTTTGCTGACAGCTTTGACTGGACCTTCGGCTGGGAGCTCCACGATGGACCCGAATATTGCATAACCATACTGGGCGTCAATCCAATTCCAGCGTTCTGTGGTCATCTCAAATTTCACCACATGCGCTTCGTTGTCCTGTTTCAAAACTGTGTATACTTTTCTCGTGGTACTAGTCGCCTGAGATTTCCAAACATCGCTGGCAGATTTGGGATACGATGGTGTTTTAACGTAAATCGCGTACTCGTATTTGTCATCGGATGAACTGTGCTCAAACCAGGCGGTGGCATAATGACCACTAGAAGGCTTGTCAGCTGGAGTTTTAGAGCTTTGGTTCTCAACTTTAACCTTGAGACTCGAAGCACTGGAACTTGGAATGTAGTAGCTATTGCCTTTCGTGTCAGTAAGAGTGATGTACCCCTCTGAACTTAAAGCCGGTGTCTCAGCGGGGAAAGGAGCTGACATACCCTTTGTTACACCATCTACTTCAATATTGAAGGTCGATGAACCTCTTTGAAGCTTGTCTTGAAAGAGTGTTGTCTGTGCTTCTTTTCCAGGACCATTTTCAATTTTGATGTTGCTGCCTAAGCAGACCAATACGCTTTGGAAAAAGAAAACAGATTTTTTATAGTAGAGTTTCATATTACGATGACGATCACTTACGTTTAAGAACTGGTAATCTGGTTGATGAAAGTCCATGGCGAAGAGTCCGCTCGCGATAGGCTCTGGCCCTTTAAAGGTAACTCCTCCGGCTGAAGATCGCGGACTGAAATACCTCGCTTTCTTGAGTAGCGTTTCATAAAGGCTTAGATTCATTGTAGTGGCTCCTGGTATTTTTGTCCAGTCCCATCCGTTCTCTATATCATGTGCCTTTAACGACTCCTCGTCATTAGCAATAATCATCTGGCCATGGCTTTGAAAAATACCGTGCAAATTTTGACCCTTGCCCTGCTCAAAGTCCCAGACAAATCTGTTAAAGCCTTTCACTGTAACTGCCCAGTCTTCACGACGATGAATAGAAAGAGCTGCAAAGTTCTTGGACCAATGCCCCTCCGGAGATGACTCAGCAGTCATTTTCTTATTTACACTAGCTTTCTGGAACACCTAGTCACCAAAAAAGGGTTTTTGATAAACACCATCGGACGACAATATGGCAATGATAGCTTAAAATTACTGTATAAAAACTAATTATTATTAATTTCTTAATAAAGTACGGAATGTGTCCGGAGGAATACTCGATTTTATACTTGTCATTGAGAACCAAGCTTATCTAAACATACCTAAAACAAAAATCAGGTATCATGGG